CTTTCCCTGGGGGGAACGTACATGTTTTACGCAATCCGTGAATTACACTAGAAAGGACCCGAAACGACACATGAAAGTATAAAACTCATAATTGCGAGTATCATGCGGTTAGTAGTTCGCCTAAGAACCGGCTATTAGAAGAAATTCTATGAATAAAAAATCCGTTCTCTCTTCCTTCTTCCTTTCTTAAAAATTGCTTCCTTACGTCTTTTAAGTAATAGTACTTTTGTTTTCTAACATTCACACAATGACAATCGTATCGATCGAACGAATAGAAACTATTTGTTGATGATATATATTAAGAAATTGTAAAACCAAATTAAAGGCTAGATAAGTAGTAATTAATGAGTACACGAAAAATGTAACTCTTTGAAACTGGTGTTTTCGAATGTTGGTGTGTTTTATGTTATCCAGTCTGATTCTGTGTTTATGTGTCGTTCTCCCACGTACGGAGTCGACGAAAATATATCAGTGGGTCATCGGAGACAGAGTTTACTTCCAGTGACCTCCATTTTGGTTCCTCTTCCCTCGGAACCTCCATTCCGTTCTCCCGTAATGGAATGTCACAGAAAGACGTATTTTATGCAAATTAATGCGTATTTACAAATACATGTAATATTAAAATTATTTATCGAATCGTGCTTAATATTATTTATACGATTAAATTTTAATTCATATGATTAGATTTTAATGATGAAATTGTTACGATACATTAATTACTACTCTAAGTATTTTGTACGATCAACCGTCGACAATAGATGGTTTCTCTCGTAAAACAAAAATTTATCTTTGCTCGTTAAAATTTAACAGAGTAACTATAAACGTCGAAATAACGCTGTTAAGTATAAACGTAGTGTTTTTTCACGAGCAATAGTTATTACGGAAAAATTGCCTCTATTTTCCATAACGTTGAAGATTATTTACTGAAAATTACTATCTTCTGTATCTACAACTTAACTGTTGCTACTTTTGATTGAGAAAAGTGTTATGTATGTAACGTCAATTGGTTTACAGTTGTAATAAGGATCGTAAGCTGATAAACTAAATCTAGCGTAGTGTTTGCGTTTGAGGTGAACGCCTTCTAAAAAACAAGAATTATAGATCCATGATTAAAATCAACTTTCGACTTATGCGTATTGCAGTGTGAAATTATTTACCGAATTTCATCATCTGTGTGCCTTGGTAAATGAACCAATGATATAATAAATTATTTTACTCGAGTCGATTTTTTCGACTATTCTACAATTATAAATACAGCTGAAATAAATTTAAATAATTTCTACAACAGTACAATTTTCGTAAGAATTCAACAATTTTGTACTTAAAGTTGTTGAAAGTGTGAATTCGTTAAAGTTCTATTTAAATGTAAATGTTTTTCAATAGAAATCTGAATATATCATTAAACAATGTTTATCCTACTTTTGTCGTAACAAAATCTTTAATGAAGGAATAAAATTCAGTACGGTATACTTGTGACTTAGTATTTACAAATTTGCAATCTAATCAACTGGATCAATTTAATTTTATTGGTTTAATTTATTGAATAAAATGCTGTTAATATTGAGTATATGTAGAAGAAAAATATTTACAAGGACATTCATCCACATCCACTGATACGTTCTGATATTATTTAACTTACCGTCCCTTACAAGCAATTTACCACCAGTTTTAACTATAATTTCTCTGAAGAAGCCGTCTTGATTAAACGAACATCTTCATCATTAAATGGAAAGTCACCACGCCTCGGCTATATGGAACAAACGAAAGTTTAGCCCGAGGCTCACCAATAAACGGACAAAATTTACGCGAGTTTTCTGCTTTGTTTAAGACCGTAACCAGTCGTAACACAATCTTGATAAAAATATAAAATTACACAGGAATCAATGGTTATTCTTTCTTAAAATTTCACATTTATTCTAGATTCGTAATATTACATTAAGTAACCGCGATAAAATGGCACGATTATCGAAGCTCCGACCTACAGTTGTGCATGAGTAACGTACGTATACGTGTAAAGTAGTTCTTATCGACGCGAAAAACGTTTGTTCGTCGGGACGATCGTCAGTTTTCGCGCATCATTTATCGTCAAGGTACCCTTAATCGCTACTAATAACAAGCGGCAAAATAAATAATAATTGCATCGAGAGGAAGCAAAAGACAGTAGAGGACTGATAGGAACAAGATGAACACAGAAATATAAAGGCAAGCTTGAGTAGCGCGTAAAGAACATTAAAAATGAGCTTCCCGCCCGCTGCGACAGGAAGTTCAATAGACACGGAAAAGAAAGTAGACGAATTCAGGGGTTATAATATCGGTTATGCAAACTGAGATATCCATACCGATGCACGTACGCTCTACGAACATTTACACAAGTCGCCAATGACTCAAATATCGATTCACAGAATTTCGATCCACACAGCAGATTAATAATCATTGATAACAAGTACAGTAAATTGTCGATGATTATTCGAAGGCTCCTCGGCACTGACAATAAGAGGTACACAAGTGTAACGTTAACTTTTTACTGAGGTTTAATACAGTGATAGAGCTTGGAATTCTGAAGCGAATTACAGCTTATATTGTTTCAGCCGGATATGATTATTAGTTTATGAAATATTTAATGTTCAGTGCTGAGGAGCCTTCGAACACTCATCGAGGATTTACTGTATCGAATTAAAGTTACAAGGTCAGACGAAACTTAAAGAATAATCAGTTTTTGATATTTTTCTGCTCAGTTTCATTCTTCCATCGATGCCTTGTCTTGTCCACGATTTCGTTCATTAATTCATTTTTTTGTTAGAGAACAAGTGAGTCGGTATATACAAATTTCGAAGTACGGAGGGACGTTATTTACAAATGATACTCGGCGACATCGTATCGCACACACGCCATCGAGTTCCCGCGATTTGGATCGGTGAGCACAGCTTGACTTTCACCTCTTGGACAATGTGCTTTCACGTGACCGTACCTCGATCGCCTTGGATCTTTCTTCTTCTTTGTCTTGATCCTCGTTACCTCCGGAAAGCACTCCGTTGTACGCCCGTTCCGCGGGCCTCGAAGGTATGCAAAGAAATTCAGCGTAAACCGTCGGCTCGTTATAATTAAACGTTACATCACGGTTTGCTGCTTATCGTACAATTTGCTTGGAAACACTCAACGGGTCATTGTGAAATGTATTAATTTTATAAATCACATACTGTGGGCCAAAAATCCTAATAGTACATTAAGAGACTTCGTCTCCAACGAAAAGTGACAGTGTAATTTTAGGATATTTCAGTGAAAATTGTTCTTTTTTAATCGCAAAATTTGTCTACCCTCATAGTACAATTATTAAAACATTTTGTTGAAAATATTTGTCATTAAGTAAAATAAAGATTAGTAATTATGAATATACGGTAAAAAAATTGGTGAAGTACGGTGCTCGTATGAACAACGTAATATTTGAATGCAGCAATCAAGTTTCACAAATAGTTAAAGTGTACTACGATTGAATGTACTAAAATTCCTGGCTCACCATATTGCTTTCTTCAAAAAGATTTGTTCCGACATAAGGACCTTTTCCTAATTCCGTGAATTCTAAAACTTTCCACACATTCTACAGATTCTTCTGCAAATGTCCCACTAGTGTTGCAATTAATTTAATGATCAATAAAAGCGGATACGGTCGATCGACCCGTATTGCTCCATAATGATCAAGTGTTATTCTCGCGATAACAGGTTTACGCCAAGATCTTTGATACCCACAAGATGCAATCCTCCTTTCAGAGTTTAGAGAAAGTGCTGATATAAAAAAGAATGCCGCAGTACCCGAGATCGATCAGCTGTCCATCGACATCTAATCATCTAAACTAACAGATTATCGTCCTGGCAGGCTGGTCCCATGCTGGGCCAGTTGCATGCCCCGGCGCCATTGTCGAACGTGAGATGCACCGGGCAGTTGAACACGTGAAGCGTGAACTTCTTTTTCCAGTCGTCCCAGTGGCAAGCGTAGAACTTGTTGCAGAAGTTCGGGTGTCGGAAGAGACCTGGTCTGGCGCAATTGGTAGCACCCTCGAGTACCTCTTCCGAATCACGAAGTCCTCCGGGTCCATAGCGATCGAACGAAGCGCCCTTTCCAACAGAATTCGTGGTAGAGCCATCGTTGTTCAAGCTCTTTCCGGATCTGTAGTTAGCACTGAAGCCATGATTGACTGGGGTACTTGGTGGAATGCTACCGTGAAGTCCTACAGTCACGGAAGGTGTGACACTTGGCAGATAAGTGGACGAAGGTCTCTCTTGGATTTGAGAAATTCCAGACTCTAGCAGAGGAGCAGGTGTTTCCTTAGGCCAGAGTTTGATGGGTCCTTGGTTCGTCACGTAATCGTCGTACTCGTAGGAACCAGTCTTCTCGAGATCCACGTAGATTTCAGAGTCATCATAGTTAGCCAGGTCCACTTTACCCTTGGAAGAGTTGATCAGTTTAGAGCCAGGACCTCTGAGATTGGCGAAGGGATCCCCTTTGCAGGTACACTCGGCTCCAAGCTTGCCTAGGAGAAGGGGATGCAGATCGCTCCATTTCACAATTACTTTAGCGTTTCCTACGGCAGTGGATTTGGCAGTGGTTTGGTACGAAATTCCAGAGGACGATTTCGAGTATCCATTGGAGAATGACGATTGGGTCCTTCCGAATGGTGCCGGCGTTGAGCCATAGCTCTGTCCCGATGGTGGCAGAGAAGATTGTTGCGTCCTGGAGATATCTCCTCCAGTATATACTCCTGGTGTGTATATGTCGTATTGGCTTGGAACGTATTTGGTGGTGCCTCTATTATAGTTTGTGATTAATTTTCCAACTTCGTTCCTGGGGATTTCTACGTTCGTTGGAGAACCTCCGGTTGGTATCACGGATGGGATCGGTGTTGACTGGTATGTGATGCCAGGCACTTGGAAAGGTTTTCTGTAGGTCACGCCAACGGCTGGGGAGATGTAGTCGCTTGGCAGGTACTGAGTCTGTAATTTAGGACAGTTTCAGGTGATATTCCTTGAACTCTAATAGTAACCGACAAGTTAAAGGTACTAGAACCTACCTGAGGTTTCAGAGATTCTGAAATACCGGAAGACGTTACTCTCTGTCCAAAGGAGCTCTTGGAATCGAAGTACTCAGAACCAGAGGACGTTGAAGATACATAATTAATCTGAAAATTCGTATTATAGTTAAAAAATGGCAAACTCAGATTGAATTTTTAAGTAATGAGAAGTGACTCAAACCTGGGGCTGCTCGGTCACAGAAATGCTTGGTCCAAATGGCCTAGGTTTCGAAATCGTGTATGTCGACGTTACACCTGGTGTTGATTGGGGTGTCGTGCTGTATACGTAACCCTGTTCTCCATGACCACCTAGTTGCGAAGTTCTTCTTCCAAAGTCAAATTGGTTCTGAGTGGATATCGATCCAGTCTGAAGACTGCCACTGAAATTATCTTGGGTCAGTGTTACAGGAATCGGCGTGGAGGACACGATAGTCTTGTATCCATTGTCGAACACTGGGTGAACCGTAGATATTGTAACTGGAATTTTAGCAGCCTCGAAAGCTGTTGTCTTGTAATTCTCCAGAGGCCCAGTTGTGTAAACCACAGGCGTGGCGGTTGGAACTGGTCCACGCGAGAACCCAGTCGAAACTTTTCCTTGATAGTATCCGTCAGTGGATCCAGTGTAAGTATCCACGACTGCAGGTGAAACTGTTGGACCGGCGAATTTTGGGCTGTTATATACCTCGACGTTTAAGTATGGCGTTGGCGTCGTTCCTGCAAGGACACTGCCTTCTGTCGAAGAAACTGGAACCACTGTAGACGGTGTGGAACCAGTTTTAAATGGAACATTCGGTCTGGGGTACGAATACCCAGTTGATTTTGATGGACCCAAAGTAATTTTAGAGGTGTCAACATAGTTCACGTCTTGAGATGGCGTTGAACCTGGGTATACCTTGACGCTGCTGTCAGTTGAAGATTTCGTGTATCCAACGACGTTACCTTCGAACGCCTTTGCGCCTATGTTATCAGGTTTAGGTGTTGGGGTTGTCTTTCCTGTGCTGATCGTGTAACTGCCGTGGCCACCTAAGGTTGCAGTCGTGATCCCTGTCTTAGTAGGTCCTGTTTTCGTGAACCCATGTGGCGTTGGTAATCCAGAATCACCTGTATTGTAACCAGGAAATAGGGTATCAGGAGGAATGGTACCACCAGCTGGTCTGTAGTCTGGAATGTCATTTTCAGTGTATTTGGTGGTCACTTCACCGTTATTGAATTTGATAGTGCCACGTCCTCCATTATCGTGGTACTCGTTTATTTTGTAACCGGTATCGATGGGGACCTTTTCAATCTTCGTTCCATAAGTAGGGCCTACAGTTATATCTCCTTGTTGAATATAACCTGAGTCAGTAAAGACATGATGTCCTGTAGAGCCGATAACTGTTCCCTGTTCGACTGATCCACCAAGTGTCACCCCAGGCGCTGTCTGTCCTGTAAGAATAATTCCGGGGCTGGGTTCTCCTTTAAGGATAGTTCCGTGTTCAGGTGTTCCGGTTAAGACGACACCGGGTGCAGGAGTTCCATAAACTGCAGTTCCAGGACTAGCAGACCCGGTGTATACAGTCTTGACTCCTCCGCTGATTACATAGCCAGGTGTGCCTTGACCAGTTTTTACGTATCCTGGATGGTTACCTCCGGTTACTATGGTACCTTGGTCACTGGATCCTGAAATGACTGTGCCTGGGGTTTCTCCGTACGTGATCAGAGTTCCGGGAGAGGAATCTCCGGTCGCAATTGATCCGTGAATATTGTTTCCGGTTACAATCGTTCCAGTGCCATAGGTTCCTGTAATTCCATAACCAACGGACGGTGTGCTAATTCCGTGATAGCTGGTTCCAAAAGAAGGTCCTTGGCTACCACTTAAGGTAATGTTTAAATCGTTCCTGTTCCCAGGTCCATGGTAACCAGTTGTGTATCCACTACCACCTTGATAGACTGTTGTTCCAGAGGTAACAGCACCTCCATATCCTTTTGTTCCAGCATTTCCGAAGTAAGTCGTTGTTATTCCTGTTTGTCCAGGGTATACTGAACCGCCAGAACCTTCGTAACCAGTTACATAACCGCCTGGTATCTGGGACTGACCACCAGGCTGTTGCGGAGTACTGACACAACTGGTGACACAGTTAACGCTTGGTTTGTCAGGTTTCTGTACATAAATTGTTCCAGCTGTAAACAAATTTTAAATAAATTAAACAATTTCATCTGGGCGTACGTAATATTATATTTTTCCAGCAGAAAATACTTACACGTATGCCCTTGCACTCCACCAACAGAGCCTATACCTGTACCGGCTGTGCCAGCAGATACGTAAATTGGCGTTTGTGTCGGTTGTGTGCCATAAATAATGGTTTGGCCAGGTGAGGAGTTTCCAATTTGAGAACCTTTTATATTAGCTCCAATGTACTGGGTTCCTGGTACTGTAGAGCCATGAGACCCCGAGTACTGAACACTGGATGTACTAAAATGGCCGCCTTTTATTCCTGGACCACTATAGCCTCCTGTTGAGTACCCTGGTACAACTGAAGCGGAATATCCCGTTCCAGGTACACCAACGTGATTTCCGCTCGTTGGACCTTCATATCCTCCTACAACTGATCCTTCATATCCTCCAACAGTAGTTCCACCATGGGCAACACTTGTTGATCCTGCGTATCCTCCACTAGAGGAACCTCCATATCCTCCAACAGTAGTTCCAGCATGAGCACCACCTGCTGATCCTGCGTATCCTCCACTAGTGGATCCTTCATAACCTCCCACAGTAGATCCTCCATAGCTTCCAATAGATGTTCCAGCATGATCATCATTTGTTGTTCCTTTGTATCCTCCATATCCGCCGACTACAGATCCAGTGTGTCCTCCACCAATAGATCCAGCATGACTCGTTGATCCTGCATATCCGCTACTAGTAGTTCCTCCATATCCTCCACCAACAGATCCATCGTGACCACCACTTTTTGATCCTGCATATCCGCCACTTGTAGATCCTCCATATCCTCCACCAACAGATCCATCGTGACCACCACTTGTTGATCCTGCATATCCGCCACTTGTAGATCCTCCATATCCTCCACCAACAGATCCATCGTGACCACCACTTGTTGATCCTGCATATCCGCCACTTGTAGATCCTCCACGTCCTCCACCAACAGATCCATCGTGACCACCACTTGTTGAGCTTTCATATCCGCCATATCCTCCACCAATAGATCCAGTATATCCTCCATTAGCAGATCCAGCATGACAACCACTCGTTGATCCTGCATGTCCGCCACTTGTAGATACTCCATATCCTCCACCAATAGATCCAGTATATCCTCCATTAGCAGATCCAGCATGACCACCACTCGTTGATCCTGCATGTCCGCCACTTGTAGATCCTCCATATCCTCCACCAACAGATCCATCGTGACCACCACTTGTTGATCCTGCATATCCGCCACTTGTAGATCCTCCATATCCTCCACCAACAGATCCATCGTGACCACCACTTGTTGAGCTTGCATATCCGCCATATCCTCCACCAATAGATCCAGTATATCCTCCATTAGCAGATCCAGCATGACCACCACTCGTTGATCCTGCATGTCCGCCACTTGTAGATCCTCCATATCCTCCACCAACAGAACCAGCATGACCACCACTTGTCGATCCTCCATATCCTCCACCAACAGATCCTCCACCAATAGATCCTCCATATCCTCCACCAACAGATCCATCATGACCACCACTCGTTGAACCCCCATATCCGCCACTTGTAGATCCTCCATATCCTCCACCAACAGATCCAGTATATCCTCCACCAACAGATCCATCATGCCCACCACTTGTTGATCCTGCATATCCGCCAGTACTAGTAGATCCTCCATATCCTCCACTAACAGATCCAGTATATCCTCCACCAACAGATCCATCGTGACCACCACTTGTTGATCCTGCATATCCTCCACTTGTAGATCCTCCATATCCTCCACCAACAGATCCATCATGACCACCACTTGTTGATCCTGCATATCCGCCACCAACAGATCCAGTATAACCTCCATCAGCATGACCATCACTTGTTGATCCTCCATATGCTCCAACATTTGAGCCGGAATATTCTGAGCCTCCATGAATATCACTTTCTGAACCTGAATATCCTGATCCTCCATGGGCACCAGTTGCTGTGCCTGAATAACCTGAACCTCCTAAATGTGTGGATCCTGTGTAACCAGTATCAGTTGTTCCACCGTAAACTCCATTAGTTCCGGAATGTGTTGAGCCTCCTGCATAACCTGATCCTGCAGATACTTGACCAGTATATTCCAAACCAGACCCGGTATGTCCAGTATACACTCCACTCGTGGAACCAGTGTAACCAGTGTTTCCTGATCCTGCATATCCTGCGCCAGCTGAGCCGCCATAGCTTCCTCCACTTGATCCTGTTTTACCGTCATAGCTACCAGAATAACCAGCGTATCCATTTCCAGTTGTTCCAGAGTACCCAGTTGATCCCTGCCCAAACGAACTTCCATGGCCTCCAACATTCGATCCTGCATATCCAACGCCAGCTGCTCCAGAGAATCCTGAATATCCTGCATTTCCCGTTGCTCCAGAATAATCAACACCAGCTGTGGTACCCGAATATACTCCACCTTGGTGTCCTGTAGCTCCAGATGATCCATGGGGCAAACCTCCAGTGAAATAGCCACCAGTACCTTGAGTAGAACCTTGGTTGTCGTATTCAGTTCTTGTATATCCACTATCTGAATATCCTGGTACCAACCAGGGCCATTCGCAGACTAATTTGTGTTCATCGAAAATCAGTCCGAATGGACAACGGAATTCGTATGCCATCATTTCTGGGCCTCCTGAAATTATAGTGTTACGTGAAGAAATGATCAAATTCGAACTTGTTGAGCATTTAGTTGATATTTTATGCCAATTGATAAGAACCTAGGTCTATGCAGGCGAAGAACCAACGAGGATTTTGAGGATCCGCATAGTATCCAGATTTTGAAGGACATTCGAACCTTACTCGTGTTACAGGAGCGATTTCACTGCTTCCAGGACACGCGGATCCTTGAGACAATGATCCTGGCCAAACGCAAACTTCTGTATGTTCATCGAATGCTAGGCCAGCAGGACAATCAAACTCAAAGACGGAGTAGTCTTCCACCTCTTGGTTGAATTTAACGCAACGATAGAATCTATAAAAAAGAATTGGTATTTAACGTTAACGATTGTTGAATAAATTTTAATATATTCGAGTTAATGTGAATATTGTTATAAATACCTGTTGCAACTCTTCGGATGAACAAAGTAGCCCTGTCTCGAGCAAGTGAACTCAGTTTGTGTGTTTTCTCGGACTGCTCGAATGTGTCCTTCCGTGTCCACTACACGGACCACTCGAAATTCGGATGATTTAACTTTGGTTGGATAACTTAAGTGAGTTTGCTGCAATTTCATAAAAATCATTCTCATTCATTTTCTGCTTTATGAAAAAAATTGATTTACAGGGAAAGAAAAACTTTGAAGTCTTTAAAAGTATTTTATAATATTAAGAAATAGTAATTTCGTACTCATTTTTTATAATTATTCAAATTTAGTTAAAAGTTGGGAGTACATAAGTATTGCCATCTACTAAGAATTCTTGCATACTTGAGATTTCAGTAAACGGTATTGTACCGACGAATACTTTAATTCTCAAATTCTTTAATGAAAATAATATATCGGAGCTAGAAAGACGAATTTTAATTTAGCCGACACTCGAAGCAGTACTTTAATTAAATGCAATGTATTTTCAAAAGCAGGAATCTTTTCTATAAAATTACTGCTTCTCAGTAAAGAAGAAATCATACTTAACGACTGTCGTTAACTTTTAAATACAATTTATCATGAATAAAAAATTGTTTATTTACATGTAAATCATCTTCTAAAGCGTTCAGGACTGCTGCCCTGGATTTCCTCTTGAAATCAGTGAATGAATGATGAATTTCATGAGTAATGGGCTTCCCACATTTCGTTTCGAAGTCGTTCTCGATGCTGTTTCCCTACAAAAATAAATATAGGTACCAATCATTACATATCAGCAAAGATTAATTCATTACCGAAAATATAAACCTGGGACGTAGCATACCTTAATCATAATTGAAATTTTATCTTCAAACGCGATCCACGTTTTATTCTTAAAAGCATAAGGTGCAGTGAGGTCTTCGTCTCTTTCGACCGTCCATTCGCCATTGTTCATCAAATCACATAACTAAACACAGATAAATAAACTCATGCAGACAAATAATTTGTTCTTACAAGAATATACCACAAGTTTAAAATAAAATTCATAATTTTAGGTCCAACTTATTCCGAATAACATTAACTTCACACCTGTTTCTGATCAATAATAACCGGCTGCAATTCCACCGTTGGCGATCTTGGTGTATTGTCATCTTGATCCTTCAAACTAAACTTGTAGGCACTCGCAGGCACCGACACCAAGATTTTTCTCTTAGGTGCGCCCAATCCACTGATCAAGTCGATCAGGCTATCCGCGTTGAACATGTCGAATATGCCCATCAGTCGTGACGGATGAAAAGTATGATAGTCCTCGTCATCTTCGACCAAGTGATGCGTCGGGACCGTGAATAGATCCACGTACCTGACGACAATTATGAAAAACTAGAAACATTTGCATTAATGTTTACGGATACGGAAAAAAGGGATCGTCAACTGGCTTCTTCAATTCCGCGAATCACACCTAATTGCACGTGAAACAATGTAATCATCGTGTGGAACCTGTTGTTTGTGTAAGGGAATGATTAGATCCAGCTGTTATAGATCCTTTTGACGCTGTATTGAGAATGGTCTCATTCATATTGAAAGGAACGGCGACGAATGCTCCGAGCTCATTCATTGCGAATCACATAGGGACATTGACTAGGATTTACTCTTGACTTACTTTAGGTAGTGTATATCCGATGGGGAATTTATACATAGTCATTAATCTTAAGGTGAAGAACGAGTAACTATTTGTTATTAATGCTACACATTAACATATTATATTCTTGTAGAAAATTGTAAATCTTTGCGAATATTTATTAATTTCATAGTATTAGATAATAGGAAACAAATGGACATCCAAACTATTCTCAAATTCTCAGATATTGACCATAGTGCAATTCTAACAAATATTGAATTTCTTTAATTGCTTTGATACTACAAGAAAGATTCGATTTTGTAAGACTAAAATAAACTGGTTTTGACGATTTCTGGCTTACATCAGTTGTCAATTAGAGTTTAATAATAGAACAAAAAATAATGAAGTTTCTTTAACATGTTCGCTATTCTTTTCTAGAGAAACATTATTTCTCAACACGATGTCAGACATGGCATACTTGGTTCGTTTTTATTATAACCACAATACATATAAGAATTGAAAATTTTAGGATAGTTTTATAATTAGAATGTTCGTATTTTATTGATTAGGTGTTAAATGTACATAAAACGGAAATAATGAATAACCTAAAATATAGGTGAATATTGCAAAATACACTCTGCTTTTATCAAGTAAATATGTTCATCTAGAAATTGGAGCGTCACACATAGATATATGATAAGGGGTAGCGAATGTTTTAATTACAAATGCAATTTTTTTAACCTCCCCTGACTCAATAAGAAACCTGATTAAATTATTATCAAATTAACACGTTGAATGCCGTGGAGGTTACCGGTGACCCTCACTCTACGGAGTATACTTTTCGATATTATTAATATTGAACCATAAATCAGTAAACTTCAACAAACTAAATGCCAAAAGTATGATAGCATAGTTGACTTTAATAATTATATATAACATTGTATTCTTCTACACGAAAATTTCACTTCGACGCTGTGGCTGAAATGTACGAAAATCCTGCGGCAGTCAATGTATTAAAATAGAAAATCAAATAAGAATAACTTCGACATATCTCAAAGCTTCAGTACCAAGAAAATCTGACGAAGCTTTAAGCAGTGCCCGTAGTTTTGTCACCTCGTTGGATAATAGCTTTCGTTCTCAATCGCATTCAAGAACGTTCCCTGCCCCCGATGCTCATCCATATTCAATGAAAAACACTGAACAGTTCGACGACAGTTCGCGAACGATCTGTTAATTGAAAGGCGCGTCGATCCGCGAACAATCGATCGGTCAACTGGTGCATCAGTCAGACGCGGCATTCTCGACGCACTATCGAGTCTAAAACTGGCACAAGGTTAGGCATATAGGCCGAACATGGATGAGAAGTTTTTACTGAATTCTCACCTGTCCTCTTAGTCAATAATTCATGAGAGAATTGAGCTGACAACGACGAAGCGCCTGGGAAATTCTTCGGAATCTTTACCGGTTTTACGCGCGTCTAGTCAAGTATCTGATAAGGATGAAACAACACTTACTTCGAGAGTTCCTTCAGATCGAACTGTTTCGCTAGATCCTCCGATTTCGATGGCAGAACAAGGAAGACTCTCTTGTCGTACGATTTCCTCACCAGTTCGTCCTTTAAGCCCTTCACGAAGTGCACCAGCCGCTCCCTCGATCCCGCTGTCATATTTAATTCAACTCCGTCGATCTGTAAATTGGACGCATTGATTAATTATTGTTCAGTGGTTTCATACTCGATGTTATCAGAGAAATATAAATTACATCTTTTACGGTGCCTAGCAAACGAGCAGTGATCTCTTGACGCACTGTACCGGAAGTCCTCAGCGTCTTTGCTGGGTCATCCACGGAAATCATGAACTGAAGGGCTGGATTGATTGCCTTCAACGACTTCCGAAAACTCTCGAATCCTTGAAGAATTGTATTTAGATGTTATTAAACGTTTTCTTAGGATTTATACTTTTTATTCTTTACTTTGGATCTTAGGCCTCTGTGATACCCCTGGGTTTTTATGGTATAAACGAAATTTCACGCTCAAATATCTCCGAAACAAAAGGATTGTTATTAAAAAACGTTTATGCATTTCATTCTAGAAATTATTGGATCACGTAGTAGAGACCCTGGAAAGTATTCCTGAACTTTTTCAGATTTTTTGGAAGCCTATAAGATAAGAAAACAGGTCTGGCCATAAAAGACGCAGAGGAGCGCGGAAATAGTAAAAATAACAAGGGTCACAGAGGGTTAATTACTACGTTTAATGAAGTACTTTGAAGTAAACGTGTGGGATACTTGAGTCAATTAAGATCGAAAGTTGTTATTATAATTTTAATTAACAAGTAAATTAAAACTGTGTACAAAGTATAACAAAATTTTTTAATGGATTTTTAACTCAGTACTTTAAAATTTAACTCTAAAATTTTCAGTTCGTATATATTGTGGTTAAAATAAAAGCGAAGCAAATATGACATCGTGTTAAGAAATAAGGTTTCTCTAGAAAATGGTAGGTTGTGTTCCCTAGAAAAAAGTGGTTCGTTCTTATTTTAACCAGAATATACGTATATGAAGGATTGAAAATTTTAGGGTGGTTTTATAATTATGCCACGCAGTGTATATTTGAGAAAATAAATAATTTTCTAGCTAATACATATTTCTACAGTTTGGTTAAGTAAGTAGGATTTTGCACAAGGATTCACAGTCTAACAATTTACAATTCATTTTATACTTCCAATATCATTAGTTACCGCATTGTTCCTTACAGTTAAAAAAAAACAGACCAATAAACGAAACGTGCTCTAATAATACCAGCTCCGCGTTTCTCTATAAATTGTCGATAATACGCTTTTAATTAGCTTCAACTAATCCTTGCGATTCATAATTCCTCAAATCCCATAAAAATGCAATCGGGTAGAAAAAGGAGAAAGTGGCGAACCTGTCCAATTATCACAACGAACAGGAAATTAAAAGTATTCGAAGCTCGAGCTCCATTCTCTCGAGAACAATCGTAACGTATTCTTATTTCTGTAGTGTCTCTACTTTTTTTATTTTCTCTTCCATATCTCTTGCAATTAAACGACATTCATTAGGCCATAGAAGTGGTGGCTTTTGCTCTCTCTGATGGCGATGAATAATATTTCTTGTCACATCTTCGCAACCATGCGTGTTCCTTATTGTTTTTTTAAATATTTTTTTTATGTTATCTCTACATGTATCTAAGATTTTAACAATGACAATAAAATTATGTTCTTTCCTGAAACTCTATTCCTAGTTCGATCGCGAAGTAAATTTCACGATACTAACGTTCACCGGTAAAAAGCGCTCCCATGGAGTTCCGCCTTCCTTTCGACGTGATTGTCAATCTCGCGACGCAGCCTACACGAAACGAGATGCTGTTTGGTGAAACGAAATCACTGTCCTCGTACAATTAATCACGAACTTTCGCGCATTCGCGTAATTGGTCGCGACAATGATCGCTGTTAAAAATTACGAAGCATTATTTTCTATTTGCGGACGTGTGTCGAAACGATTCCGTCCTATTCATTATGTTTCTTCAGTTTATATAGTCGTTATGTACTCGGTTAAATTAGCTCTAGAATTGAAATCAGGATCAACTTACAATTAGTTGAACAATTAAGTACGACAATAAATTACTCCTTAAGTTAATTCCACCCGTAAACCTAATACGTACTTACATATTATTCTGATGTCAAGTACTCTTCTGTCGTTCATTCTGCTTAATTTTAACAAAAATTATTAAACTAAGAATGTAAGTATACGATAACAAATACAACATTCTATTAAGACATTCATAAGTCGTGATATAATAGTACATTGAAGAATTCAATTAATGACTGTACTTTAAATTATTTATTTAGTCTACTTTTACGATTTACAGATAAATATTATTTACTTAGGAAAAAGTATGCCGTGTAGGAAACATAAAATTTAAAATCGCTTTAATATTGTGTTACCAAGAAATCACGAAAGACGATTCGCGCAGTATATATGTACAGTAGAATTGCATCACTCGAAAATCAGACTGCCTGAAGGATTGCATTACATACAGTTACTTTCTTCTGAAATTACGTCTGAAAATGGCACGCACGAAAACTGGTTTGACCAAATCGTCGACTTCGACGATTGCTCGATGTAATACCATTCCGCAGAACTTCGTCTGCAAGTAATTATTCCTGTTCAAGGACGCGTCAGATAAAAAAATCGACATTTCAAACACCTGAAATATATTTCTATACGAGAGGAAATTACTTTATTCGTTGACAGCGAGTGGGGACACCAAGGCGTCCATAACTCGTTCGACGGTAGAAAGAATGTGAAATCAGATCGCCATTTTTGTGAACGTCCACTGGCAATAGAGAGATTAAATCTCGCCGTTGGGCGAGAAGAATGGACACTTGCTAGATACGATTTAGGCAGAGGCGAGGGAAAGTGATATTCGTTAAATCTTACATCTGGATCGTCTGTAGAGACCACTTTCGACGATGTTGGCCTCTCATTGACCACACCCACGCATGAATTTGGTGCCGGCACGTGGCACTTTTCGAAATTAAATTGGTCCGCTTTATGAAAGCAAATAATTATTTCAAACAACGATACTTTGAAAATGAAGTGTACATATTAAGAATGGAAATTTCAATTTGTTTAGCAAAGGATGCAATAAATATACGTGGGTAAAGAAAATACATATTTAATATTACACTCCATTTTTAAAATAATATTACAGGTTTTTAGATTATGTTAGTGGAATTTCTGTTCACTGGAATTAAAAATGTTAGACATTTTCCAGGGAATTTTTGAAGTACCTGTCTGGAATATTTTACACTTCTGCTAAATAATATTGTATTATTTATGCACCCTATTATCTTGAACTCTTGAGGAAACTAAAAAATACTACATTTGTTAATATTACGTCTATCAATAAATAATTCACCACTTCTTGTTAATAAACCGGTAACACAGTATAAATTGAAAACACCTTTCTACCCCTTTCTTCTTTCAAAATGGCGACAAACAACAAAGAATTAGAACAAATGTCACTGAAACTGCAAAATCTTCTGATGTCCTCGAAAATAAGTTTTGAATTTGACAAAATATAGTGGATAACTTATTTGTTCACCTAATACATGAAACGTTTACGAAGTATTTTTCTTTTCTATCATATCATACGATCGAATGGATTTAGTGGCCATTTACCCAACCCAAGAATCAATTTGCATCCCATACGATCATCTCATAAAAATTAAACAAATGTGTAAATTCACATAGGCATACTTCTAATCAGGGATTTCTACCGGTATAATAAACGTATTTTAAAGGTACACCCTACCGTTATAGAAATCGGAAAAATATCGGTATTTATTTCGGTTTTCGGTAATATATCGGTTTCAGTATAGCTTTGATGGCATAATACCGGTATCAAAATCATACCAGTTTAAGTCTCTGCTTCGAATACCAGAACAGACTCACAAACTAGCCGTATCGAAAGATGCAATTGGCGTAACCCAGGCAAGCTTTCCCAATAGATTCAATGTCTCCCGCTGGTTTGTTTGTAATCGTCGCAGACATCAGCTGCGGATCACGGAGAAAACCTTTTTTTCTTGAAAACCGGCGATCGCTCGGGACCGGCCATTCATGGCGCGAAACGAGGGCGAGAAAAAAGAAGAATAAACGCGTTAGCTCGTTTTCGCGCGATTATGTCATAAACACGGTACACACGTAGGCGCATCTGTCCTCATCCGGCGCTGTGCCCGCCATTGGCGGACTGGGTCTGAAAATATTGGTCCCCAGGAGACAAGGGGAGAGCTCACTTACAACTTTAATATTATATTTTTTTAGAAAATAATGTTAAAGCTAGTAAATTTTAGTTGCATAGGGTAAGAATGTGGAACATCAATTTTATTTTCAAGCTACTAAAAGGTAATTACCGTTTTTAATATATTGTCTAATGTTTAACCGTTTGGGTACCGATTTATTTGAAAAATAATTTATGTAAAAATTCATTTATTTCTAAAAAAATCAGTGACATACATAGTATAGAGATGACTTCAGGTAATTAGAATTGCAAAATAAAAAATAAATAAATAAAGGGAATAGAAAACTAAAACAAACGAATTCAAGGTATAACAAAAAGTAATATAATAAATATGAAGAGTGTGGTATTATATTTTTCAAAGCAAGTAAACAAGTAGTATCACAATAAAAGGTTCATCTAAATACTGTAATTGTTTCTTCTGTTGTAATTGATATAAACTACACTGAAATGAATAAGAATGTACATGTTAAATATTGTCTCGACTCGAATGACGAGTTAGGGATTCGAGGGTAACCACTCTAGCGGTCCGAAAACGTAGTATTACCTTAACAATAATTTGTAGATAAATAATAAAATAAATGAAAGATCTGTTTAAGGGCCTTTATGAATTTTGAAAAAAGAAAAATAATTTCATACTACTTAAGATGAATACTATAAAGGCCTTTTAACAGATTGTTCGTTTATTTCATTGTTTATCTAGAAAAAATTCTCAAAGTGACACTATGATTTCAGACCGCTAAAGTGGTTTTACCCCTTAACGGGGAGGGGGAGGCATTTGCCATCGGACAAGTTGTCACCAGAGTTAGGCATAATTTTATTCAAATGCTACATAGTGAAAACATAAATATCTAAGATCGTCATCCTGATTTTTAAACAATTAATAAGATTAAATAATTGTTTGCCATGTGTCTACTCATTCAAGACGAAATATAATTTTGTCATAAAGATTGGAATTTCCACGTTTAAGCAAGTAAAATGGCAAAATACTTTTTTATCTGTTATGCGTTAGTCGACATTTTTTATCTAGATAATAAGTTTGCCGATCTCTGGCTGACGCCCTGGTCTGGCCACCATTGCCGCTACTTCTCCCTCTCACTCTTCTTTTTTCCACGTCTGGCCCTCATCGCCCGTTGATCCGTCGCCGAAGTATACAGGCGAATATCGAATTTTACGCGTGACATACCGTAATTAACCGCACGCCTCTCTCTTATGCATCACGAATTGATTTCGGCGACGTTTCGAAACCGAGGGCTGCAGCTCTCAACTGGCGAATTTTGTTGCCTTGCATAACAAGTCATTTTTAATAAGGTCCGAACGATCGTATAGGTTCAATTGTGATTACACACGCATATACGACGAGGATTGTGGTAGGTTCTTGCATTATTAAAATGGATGGATTGTTGCAGGTGACATTTCATGCAACTTTAATGGCGATTGATATCAATTTTATTGGGCTGAAAGCGAGTCTGTTGAAGATATGAATGAATAGACGAAGAAGGGGTAAGAGGAGGAGATTGCATAAACGCAGCTGCAGCTGCCAAGGTGCAACAGAAGCTGTTACAGAACGTAAATTTGATATCTAAAACGCTATTGTTTGATTGTTGCCATTGGCGTAGCCAAGGGGGGCAGGGAGAATACTTGCCACGAAAAAAGTGGCTTTTGCCCCATTCTACAAGAAAAAAATTGGATTTTGCCCCCTCCCCCACCTATCCCAGAATTATACAATTTTTGCGTAATATTTAATATTGCACTACAATTTGAAACACGATCAACAACCTCTATTAACAAAATGCATACATTTTCAACGATTTATAACTTTAAAAAGAACATAAAGTGTGTCTGATTACGTACAGCCTTTTTCACTGTGGCAGTCGATGTGTTCGAATATTTTAGATAACCTGGCTAGGCCCACTACTGACTTTAAGGCGTTATATTATGTAAAAATTCAGTACACTACTGTCTTTGAGACATTTGTGTAGTTTCTGAATTAATACAAATGTTATTTTAGAAAAAGTTTCTCGAGTTTAAAAGTAATTTTTGTAAAGAAATTGTGAGTCATGGCGATGATATGAAATATTAATTTTAAATTTTGTCCTGTTTGTATGTTTCTTAGTCTGAATTGATGTATCTAAGGAATATGTTTAGCACAAAGTTGAGTGTAATCGAGAATTCATGCATTTACTGTCGTTGAAGTCATTGAAGATCTCAAAATGTCATTGGAACTTGCAGGACACCATTAATTAATTCAGCGACAAGTGTTCATTAATCACCGGCGTAAAGATAGTTTTCACGAGTGGAAGTTAATGACATAATTACGAGTAGTCATTGACACAGTCAACAAGTGTAAAAATTACTTTGGAAAATTATAGTGTACCGTGAAATTATAATGTTACGGATACCTAAAATACAACAATATGGACATATAATTTCCAAACGAAATGAATCCTAATTTTGTTTAAAAAAGTATGTTATGCATGTCGATAGTTTATATGCGTAAAGTGAGAGTTGATTTCGTAAGTATAACAAAAGACTGTTGACAAGAAGATACGTTCGTTGCGGTTAGGTTTCGATATCCTGTTGCAAGTTCAAGGATGTGGTTGCATATCTATGGATGCAGTAATTATGCAATCAGTGAAAATTTAATCTGCTAAATATTACGTTATTATCGTTACTGCAATGTTATTACCAATATTGTTTGAAGATTATAATAACAGCATTGCACTTGTTAGTAGAAGAAGATAGTTGTAAAAAATCATTATTGATTTCATTAAATGCATAGAAATAAATATGAAGATGTAATATACGTTATTACGAAGATTTGTTTGGCTTATAATGTTTGGTAGTATGTTCACAGAAAGTCAGTCATTTTTTAAGACTACTGCAATGATAATCTTATATTAATTTAAATTCTGTTCGTTAAGGGAAACCTTACTTAAAATGTTAACTGTATTAATAGTATCACAGTGCTGCTATTAATGAGCATTTCCTATACCTATTAGGGCTCTAGACATCAAATGAGTTAATGAGCCTTATAATTTTAGTCAATGACCTTGTACATGAAGGTATAAGTGTGCTATTCTTCAACGCGTGCTTACAATCGACTGCAGTTCCTATTCTTTAAAAGCACTAATATAAATTAATTTTTTACGCCAATATATATTTATTTAATCTACTTCTTCCATAATTATTATAATATAAAATTTGGTTTCAAAGTAAAGGAAATGAATCAAATTTATTTCTTTTGAATGTGAACATTATATTAATTCAACTGTTAATTATTCTTTATTAGTACCTATCGGAAAAAAAGTTATCATTTCTCTGATTCTTTATATTTCTATTATTTCTTAACATCAACTTAAAACTTATTCTCTATTAGAATATACATTAAACACATAATAAAGTTGAAGTTAAAAAGTAATAATAAATCTAATCGAAGAAATGGTAAATTTTCTGTCCGCTACTGTAGAACTGGTCTCTTCGCATTGTCCTTCCACTTGTACCTTCCCACTTAATATTGAAACGGTGTAAATCACAAGAATATTTGCATACGTTCCTACTACATAATCTCGAAAAAAGATATAAGCATTCTTCCTGTAAGTTGACTCAATATAAATGCTAATTCCACATAAATTACAAAGTGCATAATTCCATCGCAGAACTGATTGACAATATTCAATTTTGTAACAATATAATTCCCATGACTTTTCTTTGTCGTTGTCCGGTAATCCGACAATAATTCACCACGCGCCTCCGATCGCAAAGAATAAGAAATCATCTGACATAATCGCTTACCGTCGATCGTCGCGATTATCGCGAATTGTCTGCTAAACGAGCATCCTTTCCCGTCAAAATTAACCGATTACAATACGTTGTGCACGATTATTGATAATTATTCCGAATGATATATGCAGCGGACTTACCGGAAGCCGAGAGATTTCGCACGTCGTATCCTTGATGCACCAGCGTGGTGCACCTGCAGATCGCGTTGCTCAGTTTTTCGACGTCGGAAACGGAAGTGTAACAGACGACCTCCCGTCCCGGTGATGTCTTCTGTCTGGGGCATTCTGTAATAAAAGTAATAAAAAGCCCTATTAAAATCACATCCATGGCCGTTTACGAAAACTTAAACTCCTATTGAGTAATTTACAGAATCAGACAATAGAAATTTGTTTCTTCTATTATTCTACTGGTTCTATTACCTCTCGTTCACCCCTTATATCAATTCCACAAATTTTTCTCCTAAAAAATGTGACTTTTATTTCAAAGAATGTGAAAATATAAATATTTATCTCTTCATTTTATTAATTTTTTTACCAGAATTGAACATCGAAGGACGAAATTAAGTTGGAAAAATGAGAGTCCGGTGATTGTTAAGTTAAAAATGAATTCAATATTTTATTGCATTAAATTCAGTTCGTTCTATATAATAGTTTATTACTATAACTATATACTCAATGGTCGATTCATCTTTTACATAAAACCTTACTCAAGCTTTTGTCACCATTAGTGTAAAAAGATGAGGTATGAAACTGGAGATTATAAACTTAGAAGACTGAATTTTCGTGCTTCTATTTTACCTCTACCTACATTAAAGTCTCCGATAAAGAGTCCTGCCATGAAATTAACACTGATGTTACAATGCCGCGTATGATAATGTCTTGTCTATGTATCATTTTGCAGGGTCATTTCATAACATCGTTGTCTTTTAATATTACGATCTAATTAACAGACATGCTCGAAGAAAATTGGGTGTTTGGATACCGAGCAGGTATAACAGGACTGATCTGTAATCTTCCACAACCCTGAGGTGTTATAAAAGCGATCCAAAAATTAGTGGCTTCGGAGATACGTTTGTTCTGTGGATTGATTGAACGTTGCCGTTGACATCATCCACCGTGCGCGATGCAACCGTTGCTATAATAATCGTTTACATAGCCACGCAGCCTTGCCATTCTCCGCCAAGAAAACGAAGGATCACGCAGGAGATGCTCCGAACATGAAAAACAACTTACGAATTGCCTGGGATTTTTATTAATATTAAATGATTCGCCTATTATCGAATATGTGGAAACGATTCTGACATTTCGTGGTGAATAACATATATTAGCTGTCTACTGACAGACTGAAATATCGGTGGACGTAAGTTTCAGGAGTTTCCATTTTTTAGTTAAGCAGGTTTAATTATTATTTGGTAATAGACAGAAACTAAATTAATGAAAATAGAGACAAAACGTATAAACACTATTAAATCCTGACAAAACAATATTCTATTCTTAAATAAATGTTTCGTTTTTAGCTCTATGCAAATTTCCAAACAAAAGGAAACATGAACTTATTAGGTGTATTAATAAACAATCCTCTATTTTTGTTTAATTGTGAGACGACGTATTTGAAAGTAAAAATATTACTATGAATATAAATTAAACAGTATAAATCCTTGATTTCTATAGAAACGAATACTGATTTCCCCAAGAAATCAAATAGTGGATTACTTATGGGTCCACCTAATATTTCCTTAGTTAAGGATATTTAAGAATACAAATAAAATGCTTCATTCGATACTATAAAATTCAAAGTCTGATTGTTTGAGATAGTTTGATTATAATTTATTATCAGAAATTTTGATGAAGCTTTATATTCTACCAAAGACACATTAAGAAACAAATCTAAAGAGGTGGAAAAACATACACGAAGATGTCTACTATACATTCTTTAAATATACATTTGCGTGCAAAAGTACCTAACCGTAACACTTCATTATAATATACCTTATGAAACATGCATGGTTACACTGTTGTGAAAAATTTATTACTTTCACACAGTGTTACATTAACTTCAAGACTTCTCTACGTGATAAGAAGTTTGCTGCACAACGTTACACTCAGGAATTACAACAGAGTAACGCTGAGGCCGTTTATTCTGCACGCCCCTGCAATTTGCCTCAAAAACTTCAGAGTTTCTAAAATGAACCAATATTTAAAAACCTGTCAGTTCTACAGACGGTCGAGCATAGATCCGACACTTTCTATGTTAATAAATACATATCGTTAACATACGTTTTAAAATAGAGCACAAGTGTTCATCGTTCGGCGAACAGCAGCCGCCAGTGAATGGTCACAATTTACATTGCATCTTTTATCGAACAATTCGATAGGGGCGAGCATTCGACGGAGAAAGCGCGGGCAGACGGACTTTTATTTTCTTAAATCGCGTGATCTTCGGCTGCCGTTCAAATTGGAAAGTCTCTTTACCGATTTTGCCTGGCGAAATCCACGGGGTATACAGGGTGCTATATAAATGCATGTCGATGATTCAGGGGGTAAATCTACACACTAATATAAGTAAAAAACGTTATATGAACATATCGTCATTCTAGTTCTTGATTGTTCTATCACCACTAGTTTCTAAACTGAGAAAACTGTGTTTAAAGTTTACGAAATTTAATATTATACGCAGGAAAGTAGTGAAATACATCAAACGCACTATAATATCATCTACTGAATACCTATTTATTACAATATTTAATAAAAGTTTATCTTATTGTCAACATAAATTTTTAATTGTTTTTAGTATTTGGAGATACAACCATTAAGCAAAAAAGACTTTGAAAGTTTCGAAGTTAGAACCTAAAAGAATATTTCTTGTTTTCTAGGATGAATATTCTTTGGGCCAATGAGACTCATGTAGATTGACTAACTAAATTTTTTTGAAAAATGGAGTTTGAAACGTTAAGAATTCGGACGACGATACGTGGCGTTGCAGGTAGTAAGGGCGAACTCAACAAAGGCATGTTTTAAGAAAAACGCGTCTCAAATCTTTTCTATAAGGGCGAACGGAATAAAAAGTTCTTGTACCTCAGTAACTACTTCCTCCCTTTTTCTTAAAGAAGGTAGACGTACCAATGAATGAACATTTAAAGCTGTTGCAACTATTTATTCTAAGTCATAAATATTTGGTACATGAAGATTAAACTCTTTAATATCTATACAATTTTATGAAAAATGTAATTAATTAAATTAAGTAAGCAAAATATTGATGTCCCTAGTCAATGAACATTAACCAGTAACTGAATATTTCTAACCAATGCATTAAGTCCCCACATGATGGATTTTACACTGTGTGGCTTGGAACAAGACATGTACTTAATATCACTGTTACACTATTATATTAAAAACAAAACTACACAAAAAGAAATAATTTTTATCATCGAAAAGAGTGAAAAATTTGATACGGGAAACACATAGAATATCATTTTTTTTTTTAAATCGAGTTAAACATTCTTGTTCTAGAGTCCAGATATTAGTGTGTAGATTTACCTCCTGAATTATTTACCTGCACTTATAAATCACCCTGTATATATAATCTGGTGAATCGATGCACCCGCCCGAGATTGGAATGCCCTCCTCGCGTTTTCGTGTCGCGCGACGCCCGAAGATCGCGCAGTTTGTAATGACGTAAATGGTACCGTCCTTGCGCGCGCGCGCACGCGTCCGCGGATCGTTGCTCCAGTTGACGATGGCGTAATCTAACCTTAGAGGACAGGACGCTCCCGATAGTCGACGATCGGGAAAGTCCACGAAACGAGAAGATAATCGTGCAGGTGATGATCCCGCTCGGGACCGCTTATATGGCTTTACGCTCAATTAAGTACCGAGTTAGAACTGACATCACGCGATTCTGTGGATCTCCGATCGTGTAAACAGTATTGCATTCGCCAAATTTTGACGTGATCGATGTATTTTTAACTATTACCGGGCAATTAACACCTTTGGTCTATGAAAAAATCGACGACTGCAGGAAGAACTTTATGAGGATACGAAAACCGATGGATTTATGTAATAGCTGTATTTTTTTAATAACTTTTTGGTTTCTATACGATTTAAGTTGATGATCGAATAAGAGATTCTAGACGCGAAAATGGCTGAAAGAGTAAACGATGAAACTGATGTTTCCAAAGATAGATCGATGTTTTGAATTTTGAACTTCTGGAAAGTAAAGTTGAAATTTTAAAGTTTTTCTGGTTTCAATACGATTTAATATTATAATACAATAGAAGATTGTAGGTACGAAAATGGTTGAAAAATATGAAGCAGAGATTTCCAAAGCTAGACAAGTATTTTGGATTTTAAACTTCTCGAAGGGAAAGTACAAATTTCATAGTTTTTAAGATAGATACTTTGTTTACCTGTGTGATAGTCGGTATGGTGTGAAGTAAAATGATTAACAGTGATTAATTACATTGAGCCTGTATGGGAAGCAGCCGTGAATTGTTAACGGTGCCCATTAGCGTAAAACAAGCGTAGTCTATGTAGCGTGCAACAGTTCATTAAATTCTTTTCATTCATCATTCTCATTCATGTATCCAAACAGTCACGTTTCAAGCGTGACAGAAGCATGTCAACCATGCTCGTACATTCTATAAGCGAAATTGCTCTAAATCACTACGCGTGCAACTTTTTCTTCGATTGTATGTAAAGAATGACACTTGTATTAGATATGTACCAAAATTTAGGTTAGATTTAATGGCAATTAAATCGATGGACTGAAGAAAGTACTAGTACTAATAAATGATCAAGCAAACTCTTAATATAGTACACAGCCAACTACATAACTAATTGCATCGATAAAAACTACAGAATCACTGGGACTTAACATTAAAATTATCAAATCAGTAAAAATGATGGTTAGTACATTCTCATAATCATGATTAAAATGTTATAACAATACATTTTCTCAGACCATTTACAATTTTTATTACGACATGAAAGTGAAAGATTCATTTAATTTGTAAATTTGTAAATTTTCATAAGTTTGTCACGTTTACTGACTGATAAAAGTAGGCATACGCTTATCATCGATAGTTCTAATGATGAATCGTTTATAGCACATGAAAATTAGCTTATCGAAAACAACCTGTGAAAGTAAACATTGCTACTAAAAGAGTTTAAAGTGCCTGAACATTCGACAATTTTTTTGATACAATAGAATTCGACTCAATTCAGCACTTCGTATGCTGCTCTCACACTACTTTCCATAATTTCTACCTGAGATCCTTTGGAAGTATCTCCTAACCCCCAACGACACTATTGACTTCATTCCCAAATTTACAAAACAATCCACGTATGTAATCTCCAATCACATACTACAACGACAAAATCCCAAAATCGAAGACAAGTTAAAAAGATAAGTAAGATTTCTCAAAGTGTCACTGAACAAACATCACCAGAAAAAAGCTGCAAGACTTACGTAAAGCGTATCCCAGTCCCAGCAGTCCAAAAAGGACCGCCACGATCATCCTGTCTATCATCCCGTCTGATCGGTCCTCTGGTTTCAACTGTTCAAGTGTTCGTTAGATCAGCAACGGGTCCAAGCGTGGTAGCCGAAGAAGTGACACTCCAGCCCCGAGATCGGCGCTCATCGAGATTAAAGAACGATCGACGACGAGTGGTTTGTTCGCCACCGGTCGCAAAGAAGGTTTCGAGTCTGCAACCGTACGTGTACGCCAGGGAAAGTCTCTTTCTCTCTCTCTCTCTCTCTCTCTCTTTGTCTTTCGTTCGGACCTTCTCAGGTGGGGGATCAAAGGAGTCGAAAGATCCTTCGAGTTCGAGAGCGCGTTTCGCACTGAACCTTCGGAGGATTCGTGCTCTCTTAGTAAACCCTACCCGATCGGATGGAAGCACTGTCGCGGCGACAAGGTCCGAGGGAGATGGAGCTATCCGGGGCGGCATCGAAAGGGGGAACGTAGAGGCCCCCCGGATAACGCCTGGCTGTTGGGACCGTCGGATTACCGGATGCCGGGTGGGGTACCCGGACTGGCCCAGATCGGGACACTTTCCGTGTTACACGTACGCCACCAGGTTAAAAATAGGATGACTCGTGCTCCTTCGCGATTAAGCCGATGCAGCGGGCAAGGCTTCGGGATTACTTAACGCGGGATCCTTCGCTTTTCCGATCATACGTACGCGGCGCACGGCTTGTTCCGTGTCAGGGGATCAAGGTGAACGATGCTGGCGAAGACGAACGAATCGATCGAATAGATTTTTAGGCGTTTCGTATTGCGTTCGAATCGAATGGAAAATTCTAACACTTCTCCGTTTACACTGCCGCCTGGTCTTATGCTTGGAACCACTTGTTCAATGGAAGGAAATGCAGTCTGCCCTGCTAAGGGTACTTGCGGTATTTATGAAAATCTTTTTTTTAGGAAAGAGCAATTTACTACTTTTAATGACAATCATATGTTACGTTTTTTTTGTAATACACAAAATGATTGCCTAGGCTGAATTTTTTTGCGATTTAAGAGGTCTTACCACTGTGAAGCCCTGAATAATTGTCATTTTTGGGAATTTTTTTTTAGTGAACGAAATGTTCAACAGAAATGAAGTGTTGTCTATTTCTTAATACACTTGTTAAGAGTATAACAAAATTTGTTTTGAAACTCTTAATTGTTTATTATACTCTCAATAAGTGTATTAATAAATAGTTAATAATAGTAATTGTAATAGTATAGAAAATCTTTCGTTCAAGACAAGTTATAATCGCCCAAACTCTGAAATTCAAACTCGGCATTTATTATGTAATAATCTAGCTCCTGAATAATTGCATTTATTTACAAAAGTCATGAATTAGGAGTATCAGTACTTGATGCTGAAAATACGAACTTCAAATTAGGAGAGAATTTGTTCCATAATACATTCTTAATGACAAATGAGAATCGGTAAGTGATTCGAAACTTTTAGCTAGCAGACTATTTCTGTTTAATCATTAATTTGATTCATTCGATCCAAGTGCAGACAGATCTTTTAAAAGTTTGTGTTTAAAGAGGCTATTTATTTTTACTTAATGAATAATGTATTGTCGATCATCGGTTATAGTATTGTGGTATATTATTAACAAATTTGGAATGTATTCACGAAAGTATATACGCACATTTTTATGTGAAATTTTGCACTTCAGGTCTCATTGTCAATTTATTCATTGCATCCACAACTGTTCGCCAGGATTTATGTTTCTCCCTGGTAATTGTTACTTATAGAAATTTTGGTCTTTCGCGTAGGCAGTCAGACACAATGAGTTACGTAAGCGAGACGAAACGATCGACGTGCAGTATATAACATTAAGAAATTCATGAAAAATGAAAGATCAGATTTTAGGATTCAGGTGAAGGTAAGTGACAACCAAGAAGATCAAACTCGTTTTTAGACCGTGTTGATTCAGGCTGAACAATGGCACAGTGCCTGAGATTTCTTCAATCTAAATCTTAAAGTATACCGTACGTGTAGAGGAGAAACAGAATGTCTACGACATTAAAGCCATCGTTTTCACTTTCAACGAACCAGAGACCTGACCTAAACTTATACATATTACTGCACACAATTCGATTTTCTAACTTCGTAACTATCAAAAAGCTGATCTACCAGCTACAAAAAGCCATATAAAAAATTATTATAATCACAGAAATACTTTTGCTGGTCCATTAATTAAATACAGTCGAATAATTAAAAGATTTACAATTAGAACGACCACAAGACTACATGTATAGGTTACGATAGCCACTAGTCAGCGCAGAATATTACTCAAGCACCCTTAGTTGTTAATAATTTACCATAACGCGTGGGATTAGTGTTTCATTAGCGACTCTGGGTCAGCCACCGCACGCGAATTCCCATTCCGTCCCGACACTGACAAGCGTATATTCAACAATTCAACACTTTCTCTGTCGCGATGTTTGCTTTGTCATTAATTTGCTCCTCGTCTGGCGCGAAAGAACGATCCCTGGATCCTCTGACGAACCATTGGACTTCAAGCAACTTGCGTCACGTACGATCGAAAACGTTCAGGAAGGATGCATCTTTAAGATGATAGGCGAAACATAGAGAATGAAGATGAAGATGCAAATGTTTGGTCGATGATCTAGGCGTTTTTTTACGAATAATCTACGTAGACAAAAACGATGATAGTACCTCGATCACGCTTGATCACAAGCACGCGCCACGACCGACTGGATCGAACTACCATAATTCGAATCCTCCTAGTGTTCATGATGCAGCACGTGTTTACCCGTTTGTCCAGTATCCAGGATAAACTCGGCTGCCGCTAGATTAATCGACGATGTATGCTAATCGACAATGATCACCGTTGCACGATGCAGTGTTACGTCACCGAACGTTTCGCGTTATATTATTGTCGCGCTGAGGATATCACGAATTTACGTGCTGCGGTTTCTTCGTAGCCTCCACCCAGCTGCGATTGGTCATTGTTAATATTACTGATCGTTGGTTTTTACGTTGGTCTATTCATTCGGGATGAAATAGACTTGCAACTAAATTGCTGAACTTCCTTATTCTCGGAAAGAGATTTTCTTCGATTGGTAGGATAAGAAAGGATTTTTAGAAACACAGACCCTAAAGGGATAAGAAGGGGATTAAATTTTTTTAAAGGAGTGGATAATGTTGGAGACGTGAAATTCGGCATATAAACTTCTCATTAAAAATAAACAAACACGTGTTTGAGCGTTTTTCGAAATTCAACCCTCATAAGGGTAAAAAAGGGGTAAGTTGTTTTCTCATATAATAGCCGTATCTTCAAATCTACTAAAGTTGGAGTTATGAAATTCAGAAAGTAGGTTCTTCAAAAGAACCGAATATGGCGATTTCTTAGAATTCAGTCCCATATTAAAAAAATATTAATTGTTAACGCGATTCCGCGGAAGCGGCTAGTATTAAATAAAATGAATGAAGTTTTATGTAAAATACTTTATCGTGAAAATTGATGTAAAGGAGTACGTTATGAGTTTATTGTAAAATTGTGTGTAGCTTAAACTATGGTTTATATTTGAAGTGTAAATCATGATAGAATTGTTGTGGGAACTTGTAGTAAGTGCGATCGAGTACGTATAGATTCTGTAAAACAATGGTACTCGAAAGATCAGACGTCACGTTGCCTTCAGAAATTCGCTAAATCGTGTGGATAGATCGATCAAGGTGATAACCGAAAAAGGGTCGATATCGGACCGACAACGATTGCTGGAAAGAGATCGTCATTGACAACTGATCGTGAGAATAGATCGATCAGAGAACAGGTTACTTGAATTTCTTTATTTCTATAAGTACAGATTTTATATTACAATTGAAGGATTTCAACATTCTAAATAAAGATTGTACATTACAATTCTTGAAATCTTAACAGTCACTTCAAGATCTTCACGATTTATAGATCTTAAGCGTAATCTACAACTAATATACTGAGAAGTTGCATCTGAATAATTTCTTTTTGGAGCAGCAACATGTAGTAAAATCCCGACAGACGTTTCAAGATCATCACGATCTGCAAATCTTCAGCTTAATATTCAACCGATGAAGTCAAGGACTAACGCACCTGAGTAACTTCAATTTATTCGCTCCTTTCTATAGCTGCAACTTGTATTAAAATCCTGACAAACGCTCCAGGATCATCACGATCTACAAATCTTGAGCTTAATTTTCAATTGATAGAGTGAAAAAATCGCAACTGAATGATTGCAATTTATTCGTCTCTTTTTGCAGCTACGACTTTTATGAAAATCTCGACGGTCCCTTCGTGATCATCAGAGATCTACAAATCTTCGTTTCACAGTCTTTAACTAATAGAGTCACAATAATAGATATTGCTATTTATGTATATTGTAACGCAGTCACGCCAGTGCAGCTCCCTTCGAATAAATATATCTGAACCAGGCCCACACTGGGAACAAGACGGATGATCAGGTGAATCATCGTCAATAAGGTCGTCCCGCGAATATCCAGGTCTTCGTATATATTTCACGCCATTGCAGTTTCTTCCTACGAATTACGTCATTGTCGAGAAGAGCGACAAAGCGGTCGTCCTGCGCGCCGTCGCGATTTCCGTGGCGGTGTGTCGTGTGATTGCCACACAGAATCGACACTCCTCATACGCAATAAATTTTGAATGAGATATCAGTAATTACTTTTATTTATGACCGTCAAACGTTTCAAAAACAATTAAACAAAGAAAACTTACTTCGGAGGGGAAAAAAGTGTTTGTAACCTGTGATTGATCTAATGGAAGGTTGATGGTTGATCCATTTCTATTCTACTGATCTCTGATTCTCTCAGGTGCTATATAAAATATGTTCTTACAAAATTTCGGTATTTTGATGCGAAGTATGAGTGGAAATTCTCCACTTCAATGATTGTTGGAATTTATTGTTCATAGAAACTCGAGTAAATAAACGAAACTTTGAGTTTAATTGTGTCACCCTTTGTATACGTTCTATACCCCAAGAAACCAGTACAGTGTTTTTTTATACTCTTTAAATAAA